GATACCAAGCCAGTCAACTTTATTGATTTAATTTCTTCAAAGCCGGGGGTGATATTATTTTGATATACAATGACCTTGTGGGGAGGGTGGAGCATTTCTTTGCCAATAGCAATCAATCATCATCATACCATAAAATAAGGAGGAGAAGCAAAGAAGGGAGTGGAGGTAAGTGGGAAGTCCGTTCAATACAACCTCAGTTGTATGTACAACAGAACACTGATGCGTTGGTGTATACTGACAAAGACACTTAAGGAGTCCACACATTTAGGTGGTTAGACAAGGCATAGAGTCTTAAGCAGAGGACCACCAGAGGGTCTGTATTGACTAACAGCCAACAGCTCAGACATGAGATTGACATATAACCCTGAACGTGAGGAGCCACACTGAGGAGAGAACGATAGAATCTGTATCCAAAGCAACATCCACTATATGTCCAAAACAATTGCCACCAGGGGGAACAGAATGAGGTTCAATCATTTCTCTTTATGGATAAATCTATAAACACAAGATTGGCATATTGCCTGATGGAGCTATGATGCTGAACTTGCTATGAAACAGTCATGTATTCAGAAATCCTCCTTTTAATTCTGTAATTGGTCTCTACTAACTACTGAGGAAAATATGTGGCTACAAAACCATGTGTGTACAAAACGATGACTTCAAACAAGCTAGAACGTTTAATAGAGACCCCTTTTACATACAAGTTGTCATAGAAAGTATTGTTACTATAAAAACATTGATAACAGATTAAATACATCTAACATTGTAAAAAAAAAAGCTTTGTCCTATAATCGTGATATAACCTGAGCTTTCAGTTTCACTTTGCCTATAAAATGTCTTTAGAGTGAATATTTCATATTTCATCCCCACACAAGCCATTAGCTACAGTGGGAAAAGAGACACCCATAATGAATGTGACTGGGATTGCCTGCCAGGACCACTAGGCACTAAAAAAGTGATATAGTCTTCATTCTGCACACAGTGTTGGACTATTGATAAATAGGTGAAAGTGCATTTGATAGGAGCCCCTCGTTCTGAGCTATGACTGGGACACAGCTTTACTATCTCTTGTGATAAGAAGAGAAAGAGCAAGATATCGCGCAGGCCTGGTTGGGAAAAGGATGAGGAGGGCAGAATGGAAAGTGCTGCATGAATGTGCCTTTGTGTACAGTGTTTGTGTGTGTGTGTGTGTGTGTGTGTGTGTGGGTGTGTGTGTGTGTGTGTGTGTGGGTGTGTGTGTGTGTGTGTGTGTGGGTGTGTGTGTGTGTGTGTGTGTGTGTGCGCGCAGGTGCATTCACATGCACAGTATGTGTATAGAGATACATACCAGCTTGCCTTCAGGTGTTACTACTATCAGATTAAAAATAATGATGATCATTAGTGATGGCTGGGACACGATAAATGGCATAATTGATTCCAGGCCAATGTGACAATTGGTTTCATTCGCTGTGGTGGAATTATTTAGCCATTGACTGAAGCCTTCAATAAATTCTCTGAACTTATATGATCAGTCTATGACGGAAAAATCACTCAGAAGGTTTTAGGAGCAGTCTTGCCTTATTTTCAATCTAGCATCTACAGACACACATAATCAAGTCAAATGCATTATGTGTGGTTAAAGCTGAAATCAATAACACATTTTAGTTAACTTAATGTTATTTTAAGTCATCAGCATGGTGGAGTGGGTTTGATGCTGAGACAAGTTGAATTTATTGAGTTTCTTTGCTCTGCTTAAGGCATCACATGACAAGTCACATGTTTTCCATCATTGTGTTGAAATCAACAGCAAAATACATGTACTGGAATGCCATTTTTGAAAAAGTTAAATCAAATAAACAGCAAACTCCAACATTATCTTCCCTGTGTAAAAAGCAGTATCTATCTGAGGCAACAAAGGACGCAAAAGGCAGAGAGACAAATCAGTCAAAGATGAGGGTTAATATTGGTTCGGAAGCCTCTGCATTGTGGAAACAACAAAGTGAGGGAAGATAAGGGATTCAAAGCTGAATCAGCAACGTTTGGACAGGTAATGTACTCAGTAATAATGAAATCTGGAGCTGCTCTAATAAATCACCCTTATCTTGCAATAGAATTGCTAGCCATGTGAGTGGATATAAATTGCGGATTGGATAATTGTGTTTAAGTAATATTGGCTTGTAATGTTATGCAATGCGTCTTTCAGGTCACGAGCACAGTAATCATGATAAGGCAGCAACGATCTAAAATCTTAAAATTACTGTAAATGAAATACTGAAATATACCCTGATATTAAGCTTCACATTTCAGTCTGTGTGCAGGTCCTTCCTTTTTTTTTTTTTTCAATCTACAGATTATTTTTGCAACCTTTTTCCTCATTTCTCTTTTTCTCGACACATTTGATTCAGCTCCTTCATTGTGTCTTTAAATATCTCTGTGCCGAACTAAACTTTTCCATTCTGAACACAGTAAAATCTTTGTGGAGAGGGTCCCCAGACCCTCATTCTCTGCTCTTCTCTCGTCTTTGCTGTCCTCTTTTCCCCATTCTCTCTTCTTCCCTGGAGTTCTACGTGCCAACTTTTGTTATAGCCACCAAGGACCCAAAAACTTTATTTCACTGAGCTGTCACAACACTTTGAGGATATAAGCAAAAACTATTAGATAAGTATGGTTGCTTTGAAAGTATGTGTGCTTGTGTAGCCATCGCTATGTGTGTGTCTATAATCTTTGTTTTGTAAATTATAGTAGCAATGCTGACAGAGTGGAAAAAGTATCTGCCTAAAGTCTCAAATTAATACAGTGCAAGTACTTGAAAGAGGCACACAATTTACAGCTTAGCTGAAATAACTTAATTCAGGAAGCTCTCTCTTAAGAATATAAAGAGGGTTATTTCTTTCTGTGCATTCCTCTTGAACCTCAAACCAACAAAGAGATGGTTATGGACCACACGGTTAGAAGCTCAAGCGACGCTTCACCTCTGCCCTATGTCAAGTTTGCATTGAAGGAGTTGAGACCGGCTTGATTTGGACTGATGCTAAAAATCTAGAACATATATGTACAAGCACCGTAAAATGGATGAATTCTCACCATCCCGGTTGGCTTTCTTCTTTTATGCGCTTTCATTTCACGCTCTCCTATTGCCAGGTACCAAGAATCACACTTATCACCCTCACTTTCCAGTTTCAGGAGGGGAACCCTGCAGAAACAGAGGAGATCCTTCCCCCTTTTTCTGTGGTTGGAGCTCTAATCTGGGACATTATGGGTAAGGTCAAACAGTCTCAGTGATTTTCCAGCACCCAGTAACTGTCCAGATGACCTCCTCTTTGTCCCAGATAATCTCTGCTCCAGGTCCTGCAGTGGCCCTCCTCCATTTGCAGTACTGGTGGTCCTCTATGGAGGATGACACACAGGAGTTTGTGGCTGCTTGTTCCAGCTTCTCCTAGCACAAGTCTTCCCACCAAAGCCCTGCAGGTCTCCTCTAAACACTTTCATCATGTCCTGCCCAAGCAGCAACCTCCAGGACTGAAAAATTTAGCCAACACAGAAGTGGCAAAAACTGCAGTTCCTCGAATGACCACTTGAGGCTGGCTCCAAAAGCGAGTCAATGCCCATTGACTCTCAAAATTTACAGCAGATATATACATGCTTACAGCCTGGTACAAAAAACAGTTTTGGTCTCTATAGCTAATGCCCCCCTCCCTGACAACTGCACGGGAATTGTAATACGACTCATCCGTTTAAATTTTATCAAGGCTCAAAGTGATGCATCATTGAGGTCGTGGTTGCTTTGAGTGGCAGATGAGTGCCGTCACAGTTGGCTCGCCGCTTGTTGTCGCTCACTGACTTCAGTTGCTGAGTAGCATCACATGTGTCATAAAGACTAGAAAAGCTGTGCTGGTTAAAATAGAAACACTACGTCAGAGTAGCATTTATAGGTTGTAGTTCTGGGTCCGGATAGGATTGCATCTGGATCCAGATCCAGGTAGTGAGCTCTGTGCTTTGTCAACAGAGGGTATGACAGTATGAAATACTAATTATTCTATTACTGGATTTCTTCTTTTCATATTTACAGTAACATATTGTATATTCATAGAGGAGGACTGCAGGTGATGTCTTGCTATATCTGTTTTTCTAGCAGACCATTGTTTCTATTCGTGTTGGATACAGGGATGCTCAGTTAGTGGGTGTCAAAAAGTGCTTGTAAATAACTTTAAGATAAAAGAAATTTGGTGAATATGTCTTTGTGTGTTTGCTTCTCTCTGCCTTCCATTCTGTTCCTCTCCTGCCTGCTCTCCTCTCACATCTGTTGGTATTTACAGAGTGAATTATTTCTGAGTTTTTACAAAAGCCAGTTAGCTTATCAACAGCTTGCACCCAGCTGAACACCCTCACTCACGTCTGGTTTCAGAAAACAGGATAAGATCAAGTGACTGACTTAAAAAGTAGATTTTCTCTGCCCCTCTCTTCCTTTGTGTTCTAAGGGAAAATGCTTCCGTCAGGCAGACAACCCCAAGGGCACCAAACCCAGCCGGCACCTCAAAACGGCTCTAATGTTGTTTTATCATAGAGGAAACCACCAACTTCTTACTGATAGCAGCACCTTGACGAAATACTAAGTCCATCCTTTCCCAAATAACACTGCCAATTTCCATAAAATCAAAGTGCTCTTTCACAAACCTACCCTGAACTATTACGTTTTTTTTTGTTTTCCATTTGCCAGTATGCTTAGCTTAAAAGATACTGGTGAAAGTCAATTTTTACATAAACACCAAAACTGACATGGAGACCAATAAACGTGTCGAATAATCAGAGTGAGGAAGAGAGAGAAAGAGTCCCAGGTGGACAGGAAGGAGAGGAAAACACAGACACAAACACAGTAAACGCCAGATCTAACAAAGGCGAGCATGTAGGCACACATGCACGTACGCACACGCACACACACACACACGCACACACGCACACACACACACACACACACACACACACACACACACACACACACACACACACACACACACACAGACCTTGTAGGAGTCAATGGCCTCCCGGTCCAGTGAGCGGCTGACTGACACTTCTCCTGTGTCTGTGTCAATGATGAAGAGACCTTTGGGATCCTGGTCAGCACCGGGGCCTGTCAGTCGGAAGATGTGGTTCCCCGACTTCTCTGTTGAAATCACCTGCAATCACACACAAACAAAGAAACAAACAAACAAACAAACAAACAAACACACACACACACACACACACACACAAAATTGTGAGCTTTTCCCATTTCATTCTGAGTCAGTCTATTTCCTGAAGCAAAGAATTACTGTCTGTTTTTTTCCAACTTCAAATCCTGTTCTTTAATGCCGAGTGTACTGAAAAACACTTTTTATTAGAATTTGTTGATATTCATTTGAGCAAAAGAAGCTTACTGCATCTTGAATGGTGCTGCAAATCCCTGATAGCTAACAATTAAAAATTTATATCAGAAACGACTTTGATTTGATTTCATCAGTTTGCAAATTCAACTCATGTAAAATATGAAAGTTAGCATCATCTCCCTGAGCACTGGAGGCCTGCTGTGACCACTTGCTAATGCATGGTAGGATTACATTTAGATAAGGAAAGTGGAGCATTTAAATAAATATAAAAATCTTTTCCTCAATAATTAAGTGTGAATGTTATATACATTATGTTTTTTGTCATTGGGCTATGTGAGGAAACTTTAGAGCCAGTCCCTCTGAAATGGCCTCATACAATAGTGATGTTCTTGATGAGTTCTGACAAGTTAGTTCGCTGACAATCCTGTTCTCTCACACAGGAGTGATCTGACCCAGTGACTTTTTGGTTACTGTACTCACATGAGACTGATGTAGCCAGCAGCATCCACAGGTACACCAGCAACAGGAACGGGCAGGATAATGAAACAAAGACACAGAAAACAAAGCATGTTAGATTCACACAGCAAAGCAAAAACAGCATTAAGAGCCAAAACCTTGTGGATCTTTGCAGATCTTGACTTCAGGACAAATGTTAGAGGGAGACACACGATAAAATAGTCAAAGAAAATTTATGTGTAGAAAATCTTTACAGAATTTTGACAAAATGCACACAAAGATATTTTTCTGCTTTTGGACAGAGCCCAGCTAGCCGTTTTCCTTTTCTTTCCATGCTTTATGCTAAACTTAGCTAAATGGCTGCTGGCTCCATCTATATATTTGCTGCAAATGAGAGTAATATTAGTCATCTCATCTAACTCTGGGCAAAAAACACAAATTAGGTCATCTCAATCACAACCTTGTGATCAGGATTATCACTGACATATGAAAGTGTTTTGAGAATGATGACAGCATCATGCACAGTGCAGTCAGTAGTGCACTGTGCACTGTGCACGTGCACAGAAGTGCTGGATTTCAACTTTAAAGAGTTTTTTTGTTCTTGCACTGTTCATCACCTGGCTGTGAATCCTCTTAAATTAAAGATGAAAGTCGGCATTTTAACCTCATAATGATGTCTTCATTTCACATCCCACGTGCTGGCGTGCAGAGCCACACCACAACACTGTGTCACTGTGTAAATAAACTACCAGTTTATACTGCACCCATATAAGCACACACAGTGTTGTCACTTCTTTAGACATCCTTCTGGGCCTTCTGTCGCTGTATGTGAAGGATCTAAATGGTCCCCCTGCACTGGGCCTCATGATCAGAGGGATGCGATGAGGTCACCTGTAATGAGAGCGCGCTTCAATGGGACGGCAGCTAAATGAAGGCCTTTCTAGTCCCCACTTGAAAGAGCATGGGAGATGATACTGCAGTGTTACAAGCCTATGCCAGATGAAGCTCAAGCCCTTACAGCCTCTCCAAAGCTCTTTGCTATTTATCTCGAAGTCCCACTTCATCTTTTCCCTCTAGTTCCTCTCACTCTTGGACGCCTTGGTCCCCCGCTTCTTACTCTCTCTAATATGCTCATCCTCATTCTCCAACTCAGCATCCATATCTTATGCTTCATTCATTATTTTCCACTCCTCTGTACTGTATCCTCTAACACTTACTCACTCTGCTCATTTTGTTTATCATGCCATATGATAAGAGTGAGAAATGTAAAAATCCTAAGGAAAGTCTGTCACAGCGTGTTTTCCTCATTTTGAGGACATAAACACTGATACACAAAACCCACCTATGGACGGACACACGCACACACACACACATACACACACACAGGTGAAATTGCTGTCATTCAGGACAGAGATATTTCTGAGCAGTAATCACAGTGGCAGCCAGCACCTGCTGAGAGTGACAAACTGGGTCAGATGAAGAAAACTGAAAAAAGAATGAGGTGCAACATTAGTTGGATTCACAGATGGCTCGGCGTCAAACTTGGATAGATGCGGGGGGAGAGGAGGAAAAAACAAGAACAGACGTACAGGTAGGACAGGGAGGGCGGGTGTGAGGATGCAGAATGAGAGAGTGAGAGATGAGGAAGTAGCGAATGTGAGAGAGGGAGAGACTGTTGATAGAGACAGTAACTTCAGCTGAAGAGTAACTGAAGTGTCAGGAGAAGTTTAGTGTGATTAGGAGATGTCTCTGTGGGATACAAGTGTGATAATATGCACCTTGCATACACATACACTCCAACTTGCACACACATGCTGGCACAGAAACGTACACCCAGTGGCTTTGTCTCCACTGAGTCTGTCTCCCTCTGTGTGCGTGGGAGGACTGATGGGAGAATCTCACCTCTTTCTATCAGCTCTCATTACCAGCCAAGCAGACATGAAAGACTGCCGGGCTCATGATACTGCGGGAAGATGACAGGAGGTGTGGCGCAGCTCCACAACACCAAACACCTCCGAGCACATCGAGAGAATGAACACCAAAACAACTGATCTGCACCGGTTTGTGTATGTTTATGTGTGTTGGTTTGTGTGTATTAAACCCTTGATATCACCTCCTGTTGTCTGTGTTCCTGTCAGATGTCAGGAGGGCAACAAATAAAAACCTGTGGAAATGTACAAATGTGTACACACACAGACATCTCAGAAAACTTGTTGTGTAACTTGTAAAAAAAATTCACTAAAGTGTTTTTTTTTTTTTTGCATTTCAAAATCAGGACAAAAATCTGCTGTGCAAAGCAAAGTGTACCAAAGAAAGTATAAAGCTGGTCCAAAAAAAACATCATCACGCTGAATCATTATCATGCAAATATTGTATCATCACACACATTTTTTGAGGGGGAGTGGGGGAGGATTTCAACTCCAGTCATTGTGTGTGTGTGTGTGTGTGTGTGTGTGTGAGAGAGAGCGAGTGAGAGAGGTGGGGAGAGTGAGTATGCAACAGCATCTCTAAGTGGTGCTTCTGTTATCCCTATCAAGGTCATACAGCCAGCTGCGAATGACAATCACAGCCAGGCCGTGTGTGTGTGTGAGAGTGTAAGTGTGAGTGTGAGTGTGAGAGAGAGAGGGAGAGAGAGAGGTGGAGAGAACTCTTTTTTCTTTCTGCTTTTTTTTTGAGGGGGTAATGATGGTCTGATTGTGCCTTTGAATGTGAGTGAGACCCTCAGTGGTCAGGAATGTGTCTAGTGTGTGTGTGTGTGTGTGTGTGTGTGTAAGCATGCCAGGCTTGGACCTGTACTTGGCCTGACTGTCTTGCCACTCCAGGCTGCTGATGAAGGGAATGAGGCAAAAGAACGGTCTAATGAAGACGTGGACAGTGAGGATCCAACCGAGTCCTCAACACAGGACGATGAGAAAACAATGGTGCTAATTAACTGGCTTTGATTGGTTAGCCAGGCCTCCGCTAATCATTACCTCATTACCAGCATCTCTTGGGCACTTCACACCCGGCAAAGTTGTTTTTTATCGCTTCTCCTCGTTTTTTAAAGTTCTCTCATCAAAATGGATTTCACATCTGTTCGATGCGTCTGGGGTCCAGACATGAATTACAATGTACGTCAGAGGGTTTTAACTCACCACCGGCAAACATCCGCCACAAACGGGCATGATTAACATGCTGAAAGACAGACTGGGAGAAAAAGGCAGGAACTTCCTGGTCTTCCTCAGACAATTAAGAGAATCAATTAGACTAAATGACGAGGCCCGCAGGCTGCCTGCTTTCTAATCTTGGAACATCTCACAACACAACTTGCTCACTTCCAGCTTGGAAGTTTAGATAGAGTCCTTGTATTGAATGGCTGCTTTTTGTGAGAGGAGAAGAAACAAAGAGGCCTAGATTGATAAGGAAGGGGAAAGATTCATGAATAAAGGAAGAAGAAGAAGCCTGTAACAGTTAACAGACACCAGGTAGAGGGCAACAAGACAGAGGAAGAAGCCAAACTGACAGACAGAGAAAATCAGGACACATCACTGTGCTGAAACAATGGAACAAAGCTGCCAGACACGTCTATTCTCCTTACTATATTAGCTGGGGCTACAACCAAACTAGGCCCTCATTCCTCTCTCCAACAGCACTTTATTGGAGCTGTCATGTCAAGTGAGACATGTTGTGTTGATTTGTGAGCTGGACCCTGAGGTAAGGAAGGATAAACACAGGTTGAATAACTGACAACTCCAGCGCAGCACAGAAAGTTAGGATGGCTTCAAAGACTGCGTTTGAAGTGAAGAAGTGCTTCATGCTGATACATCTGAGATTTCATTTGTTATTTAATGGGGCGGTGTGTGTGTTTTGTTTATTGTTGTTTGCACTTCTGCTTGTGTGAATTGGTGAATCTGAGTTAGTGGCTTTTTGGAATTAGTAAACATTGAGCAGGCGTTATTTAGAGTGATCTTTCCTTTTCCTATAACTGCTCTCTCTGATAAGAGGTTTCAGGGATGTGAAGTGCACTGCAAATACAGTGAATGGCAGATCAGTACTGAGCAGTCCATCAGAGGGTTAACACACACACTGACAGGCACAAATATTCATACCTATGGGTAACTGAGACATTCCAAATAATCTACCCTGAATTTCTTTTAGACATTTAACAGATCAAACCCAGAGACATGAGAACGTGCACACATCTGACCGCTGCAGGCTATGAGGCCTAGGACCCAGGACCTTCTCACTGTGAGGAAACAATGCAAACAACTGAGCCAACACACACGGAAACAGCAAAAATCCAAATTGACACCTCATCTAGATCGGGCAGGCTGCACTTCACTTTATACTTAAGTTGAAAAAAAACCTGAATAAAAATTTAGCAATTTCACTAAATTCTGTCAGTTAAAGTAAAGTGTCTGAATTCTCAGGTCTTGCTACAGGCTACAGGCTACAAGGTGCTCAATAAACATCTAAAACATACCTAATCAATTCCCCATTTGTTCCAAATTTACTGAAGGATTACTTTTCTTCTGCCCCCTTTATAGCTGCAGCTTGCAGGGTGGTAGACTTGGCTGTAATAGTTCAGCTACAGATGCTGTGCACATACTCTAAACAAACCATGTCAACAAACAAAAACATATTTATCACACAAACAGGGAGTGACAGCTGTCCGTCAAACCATCAGGCTTTGTCATCACCTGTGATTGGCCTGCCACAGGATTTAATAAAATTCCTAGTTTTCTTGACATTAGGAGAATTGCAATTTTAAAGATCCATGAGCAGCTGATGGCTTGTCATTAGAAAAACAAACAGGTGCCAGAGAAGACTGACACTATTAAAATAAAAATAAAAAATAAAACATGAAATCCTAAACTTTCCTTAAGCAACGACTCTTCAGCAGCTTAACCCCTACCCCCAGCTCAGGGAACATAATTAAGAACTAACTCTCTGCCACAATACGGCAAATGTAGTAATTTGGGGAATCTGACGTTAGTTTACATTATTGGCCAATGGCAAAGAAATAGAAAAGCATTTCTAGAACATTTTAC